ACTTCTCTGCTCTCGTACCTGGATCGTTAGCGTTAGCAGTTGTGACGCACCGTCTCCTCCAGAGGTTTTTTGTGTGTATCTTAATGGAAACAGAAGGTCGGACTGAGTTTGTATTGATAATTAATTAACCGACACTGTCACCGAGTGAACAACCAACTATATTTCTCTCCCTCTCCGTGTTTGTGATCCTCAGTGACACGGAGACAGCTTTCCAATACACACCGCCCTGAATAATAATTATCCACCAAAAACTCCCCTTCAAACGCAATCCCCAGGATATTGCATCATAATGAAATCTGTCCTGTTAGCATGAACCGTTCGCCCCCATTTCCTGACCCCCGCCTTGACTTCACCTGCCTCGCATTACAGGCGGGACACACAGGAAGTTATTATTGGCATCCCCCAGTAAATCAGACAGCTTCCTGAAAAAGGATCAATTTCCCCTGTTGCACTTTCTCATTATAACCTTATCTCGCCCACAGACAATAATCTGGATTTGTCACGCTTTGTTTGTTTTGCCGCTCAACTGTATCAGTCACGAGCGACTCCGAGTCAGAGAGGAGCAGGAGGCAGGAGGAGGCAGGAGGAGGAGGCAGGAGGAGCCTCGCTGAGTGGATCTGTGGCTCAGATCTGACAGTATTTACAGGCTTTGGCTCCTCATCCTTATTCAGAAAGTCTTTTGATTGGCTTTAGTTGGTTTAAGCAGAGAATTTAGACAGAAAACACTCAACGTCAGGGAGGAAGACGAGGGGGAGGAGACGAGGGGGAGGAGCCGAGGGGGAGGGACAGAGGACGACTCACAGTCAAGTGTTTCTTTATGTCTTGATCAAAGAAAGTTCACACATAGAATAAATATATGTTTAAATGATATATTTATAGTTCATATATTTTATATTTATAATGACTGGCTGTCGTTCAGGGTTTGATTCTTTTTGACCGTTTCCCTAACGTTACAAAATGCAGCCCTGAACCCATACAGAGCCTCCACCAATAGGTCACAACAGGTTGTTAAAATGCTTCTCTTCTTTTCAAACTAACTAAAAAAAAAGAACTAGTTTCCAATTAATTATTAAATTATTAACAAGGTTTAATTCTTGACTTTTTTTTATCTCATCTTTCTTTTAGATAGTTCGTTACTTTGACTATTTTTACACATTTTCTGAACAGTTAATACTAAAGAGTAGTACTCCTTTAAAATATATAATACTATATATATATATATATATATAGTATTATATATTTTTGATGATGATAAAA